TAGTAAAAGAACTAGTATATATAATTACGAGAATAATATTTATATAGTACGAAATACTAGAAGTTATTATTATAGATAGAAATAAACTATTTAATTTATAGTTTTAGTAATCGTTAACCGACCTATTAGAAATAAAATATAAGATATCTATATTATATTATCTATAAACGGACGAATAGACGAAAAGAACGAATTAGATAATAGAATAATACTTACGGTATTACGTAGATTACTAGTAAAAGAATTAGGTCGAGCTATTATTAATAGCTTAATTCGCTTTTAATAATAATATATCGATAACCGAAGTATTACTATTCTTTACGAATTACGAAAGATACCTAGATTTCGAGAAAGAACTAGTAGGAAATAGATCTATAGTAGAGAAGGTAAGAATAAAAGTAGAAGACTTATATAAATTATACTTTCTATTAAAAATAAAACTAGATAAAATATCGGAAATAATTATAAGAACGGTAAATAAGAAAAGATCTAAGGAACTAGACTTTCGGAAGGAAGAAATAGTTTACGTTAATATAAAAAATATAAAAATATAGAGACTAAGTAAGAAACTAGATTATATAAAAATCGGACTATATCGAATTAGAAAAATATTAGGACTAGTCTCTTATAAGCTATAACTACTAGAAGGATTAAATATATATTTAGTATTCTATAAATCGCTATTAGAAAAAGTACTAAACGAAGCTAAACTAGGACTAGTATATATCGATAAAGAAACCTAAGAACCCTTTTATAATATAGAAACTATACTCTAATATAGATAAAAAAATAACCGAACGAAATATCTAGTTAAATAGTTAGGATACCTAGAGGAGGAAAATACGTAGGAACTAGAGATAAACCTTAATCCGAAACTCGTAGCCCGATATTACCGAACTACTAGATAATCTAAGCCTCGGCTAAATAACTACGCTTAGCCGAAAGAGCCTCGAACTTAGTATTAGAAAATACTCTATTATAATCTTTTCGGTTATTACGTATATAGTTATTATACCGCGTATAACTATCTAATATAAAATAGATAATATTTATATTCTAGTAGGGAGTATAGCGACCTATACTTTCGTATTTTCTTTCGAGGGTTTTAATTTTAAGCGCGGTACGTTAACGACGAATAGTAGAGGACTTAGAACGTTTAATAATATCTATAGGCGATATAGTTAGCTATAGGGAGGGAAGAAACGAAAAGCGCGGAGAGGACTTACCTTAAGTACGTTAAGGGTAACGACTAGAAGGAGGGGAGAATAGTATTACGAACTAGGTTACTTAAAGGATTACTAAGGGAATTAAGGTATTCGCCTAAGGAAGGAAGTTAGCCGATAAAGAACGAGGCTAAGTTATATAACTAGGTAGGACTAGATTTCCTAGATTCCTTAGATTTTATAGGATCTTAAGAAATCTACGGAGAGCTATAAGATCTAGGAGAGCTACTAGCTCTATATATATATACTTACTACCCTCGTTAAGATAGATTATAGTTAACTTCGTTAATAATTCTATACTTATATTTTAGAATATAGTCCGACGAATAAGTATTCCCTTTATTATCTTAGTTAATACTTTAATACCTACTCTATTAAGGAACCCTACCTTAGTTAGAACTACTTATAGCTCGAATTATAATATTACCTTCGTAAGTTACCGATAATACTTAACCGAATTCTATCGTTATATAGGACGAAGAAGAATACTAGATTAAAAGGATTATTCGCTATAAATTCGTACGAAGAAGTCGAGGGTCTTAAAGGTAGTACTTAGTAAAATAGACGAAATATATAGAACTAACCTAGGAACTAGAATTATCGCTCTAGGATATCGTAGCTTTAAACGCGTACGAATCGATAGCGGAATAGTCGGCTTCCTAATTACTATACGAGAGTAAAGAGAGAGTACGTACGAAGGAACTATAAGAGTAATAAAATATCTAATTATACTATATATATTTAGCTTATTTAGTTATCGTACGGCGAAGCCTAATCGCTATATTAAGGTATAAGCTATAGTTAAGTATAGAGAATATTCCTTATCTACTAAGATTATACTAGTACTAATACTAGTACTATACGAGGATAAATAAATAAAAGAAATATCGTACGTACTTACCGCTAAGGGGCGAGCCTTTTTATAACTACCTTACCGAAGCGAGAAGGAGGAGGAGGAGGAAGAAGAGCCTTACGAGTAGGAAGAGGAGCGTCGTCGTTATCGGACGAATTCGACGATAATACTATAATACTACTATCGTCGTCTTTATCGCGCTTCGTATAACGAGAACCGCGATCCGACTATATATAGTTATCGTATATACTATCGAAGTATCCTAGGATACGACGATACTCTAGAAATAGGCGTATTAAGTATTTATAACGATTATAAGGACCGAAAAGGATACTTCGGCTCTAAATAAGTAAGGCGTTAATATACGATAGTCGATACGACCGAATCTATACTAGAGTAACTACTCCTCGTACGAAAGGTACGTTAGTTTCTAGTATAGCTAAGACCGCTCGTTAAGAGATATTATAGTAGTACGATACTAGCGACTACTCGGAGGTAAGAAAAATAGAGATTTAAGTTAGCGCGAGCTACTCTAACTAACGCTAAGTCGTAACGACGTCCTATACTACTAATACTATATTATCTTAACTTTTTTTTTTATTCTTCTATTAGTATATACGACTAAACGAAGAAGTCTAGGGCTTAGAGTATAGAAGGTAGATTTAAGAGGAGGAAATAGATTAGTTTACTTACTTATTTACTATATCGACTATTAACGTACGAGAATTAATAACGACTAATAATTATATATAATAAAAGTAGAAATAAGTACTTATAAAACTTTCTCGATAATTAATATAAGAGAAGAAAAAGTAGAATAAAAGTAAATAGAAATAAGAGTTTTACTTTATACGCTACTCGGCGCCCGACTAGTTTCTATTAAGAGTAGCGGCTTCTTAGCGTTATACGAGGAGAGAAGGAAAGTAATATTACGAATTAAATTCGTATAAAGCTTTAGAGTACGCTTTAGAGCGATTACTAGTAGTATACCTTTAGGCTATATAACTATATAGCCGAAGCTATATAACTCCTTTCTATCGATTATTTTCTAGGAAACTATACTAACCTACTATAGAAGAGGATAGGAAGTATTTCCTTTATTCGTATAGTAGATAGATTTTCTCTTTTCTTTTCTTTCCTTAGCTTTAGAATCCTCGTTATACGGTAGTTAGACGAATTACTCTAAATTCCTAGCTAAATCCTTATAATAGTCGACGGCTATTTATAGAAATAGTCTCGATAATTAAGATCTATTTACGGTTTTCTAGTGTTACTTTATATAATTAAGTAGTATTAACTCTACTAATTACTCGTTAATTAGTATAGATACCTAGAGCGATGCCTATCTCGTCTATATTATAGATATTCTCCTAGGAAACTTAATATCGCTCTCGTACGATATTAAAATACTTAAACTAGCGATTTAGGGACTTAGGAGTAGTACTCTAGAGACGTAATCTATAGATCTTTTTACCTACTTTAGAGCGAATCTCTAGATAACGTTATATAAATCGTAATATCTAGTTTTAGCCGATACTTAAGGGCCCCGTAGAATTACCTTAAATAATTATAACGAGATCTCGTATTTAAGTAAAGCTAGGAGGGTATCCTTACGCCTTAAGGTCGAGTATCTATCGTATAAGTATTTACTCTTACTTATTTAATAATATCTATTATAGTTTACGAGTAATTACTCGTAAAATACTACCTCGTAGTCGACGGCCGAGACTAACGTGATTTATATTATTTACCGCCGCGGTAGCGTGAATACTCGTGTATCGGCGATTTTAGTAGTCGGATATCGCTTGGAGCATCCTAGTCTCTCGATTTAATGCCATTTTATTATGTAAATATATTAATTAGTGGAGTAGGATGATGTAGAGGAGGAGGGAGTAGTATTTGGAACGCGTAAAAACGCGTGTTTCGTTACTAGGGTGTTTCATTACGTGGTGCCTAGACTTATAAATTCGAGTCCTTACTATTTTAGGTTGCCTAGGTTGCCTGATCGGAGAACTAACGGGCCTCTAAGCCTCATTAAGGACCTCGTATTTTCTGTATACTAATATACTCAGCGGCGATTCTTGACCTCTCCAAAATCTATATCTATGCCCGGGCCTAAGCACCTAGCTGCTTTTCCTAAGCTCTGACTAAGCAATTATGAGCCGTGGCGGTGCGGTCCGAGTAGTGCTTGGCGGACGTTAAGCAACGCCGTGAGCCACTCGAGGGGTCCATAAATTGGGCCCCAGGTTCCTAGTTTTGGGCGTTTTAGGTACTCGCAAAGGCCTAGTTCCGTGTTCTTAGCTCGTTTATTGTTGCCAGGAGTGGTCAGGGTGTCATTTCAGGGCACATTTCAACCAGCTGGGATAATTGCTACTCCCGCACGACTTGCTTTACTGGGTAGACTCTCGCCAGACGAACAGTGCCCACTAATGTGAGTATCTCTAATAGTATAGATAAGCTTTGTGAGTTTGATATTGCTACTTCTAGAGCGATAATAAAAGTTAAAAGTACGGTGAGTTCTGTTGCGCGCAGCAGACAGGTTCAAAGGATTGCATTGACTCTAGAAGCACTGCTTAATGAACTATCAAAAACGATGAGGGCCAGCCTTGTACTTATAGACATAGGAAACCCTCCTTCCTCCAGCGTGTCCTGTAGCCTTGCGGTTAGCCTGTTCTGATGCTTGGCACGCGAACGAGAACCGTAACGCGGTACTCACAACAAGTTCTTAATAAACAACTTTATAGAACAGTGCTAATAAAAAGGGGCTTTCTAGGCCAAATCTCGCCTACCCCTATCCTAACTAATCAGCGCACGACTTGCCAGTCACCAAGCCAGTCGCGGCTGGCGGCGAGTGCCAGTCGCTAACTTTTAGCCCTGTGCCACGAAGCTGGGCAATCGTATAATCCACCACTTGTCCTACCAACATGAACGTTCCATCAATCGCCGTCGAAGAGGCGGCGCCAAACTATGTATATAAAAAATTGCAGAATAAGGATGACTTTCGCTTGATCACAATTCTCCCCGGTCGTTTTGAGGACATCATTCTTCTGGAGATCTCACATGTTCCCCTACTGCCGCTTCATCCGACGATCTCGCAACGGATGGCCCTGGCAGAGTTGAAGAAAACACTGCCTCCAAACTGGGATGTTCATGAGGCACGCGCAAGCTATCGATTCCTGTTTTCCTACAAGAACCCGGAAACGGGGTCACAGATCTCATCGTGGACGCACCCCATCGGTACTATCGATCCATGGCTCTACCTCCAGTCGAACGAAGGGAGAGAAGACTACGAGCCGAGATATGAAGCCTTGTCCTACACATGGGACTCGCCACTTCATCCTGAAACAGTATACATCGCAACCGGCACCTCCTCCTCGAAGCTCTCCATCAGGAAGAATCTCGCCTCTGCCATCCGTCATCTTCGCTACCCTGATAAACCACGCACGATATGGATCGACGCCCTCTGCATCAACCAGTCGGATGTCAACGAACGGAACGAACAGGTCCCTCGCATGGCCGATATCTACTCACGTGCCCAGCGCGTGGTCGTGTGGCTGGGCCCAGATTCGGCAAACGGTAGCCATACGATGCGAATCCTCGATTTTCTGGGGAGTCAGACCCTAACGACCGTCGACAACTTGGTCATCGCCACCCCTGAGGCGACAGAAAGACACTGGGATCACCGGACGGTGCTCCCGTACGATCGCGGCACTTGGATGGGCATCGCCCAGCTCTTGAATAGAGACTATTTCAAACGGCTATGGATCATCCAGGAGATCCAGCTCGCCAAGGAGGTTATTTTGTGCTGTGGAAATGGCTCTGTAAGCTGGGATCATTTTTCCAACGCAGTCAATTTCCTGTATACGAGTGAGCACCTCTCGCAGTCACTCATTCCGCGGATGAGGCTGCGGCTAGTGAAGCGTCTAGCGCAAATGGGGTTCAATTACCCCATCTCTTGGAATCTCCTAAATTTGGTGGAGGGAAGGGCCTGTTCCGACCAGCGAGATCTCATCTATGGTCTCCTCGGCCTGCTACCGGCGTCGTTTTCTTCTCGGATCGAGCCTCGCTATGACCTACCGGTCCGACATGCTTACAAAGAGGTCATGCTGGCGCACATTGAGCATGTGCAGCGACTTGACTTTTTCGAGGCATGCTCTCTCGCGGGGAGAGAGCAGCCCGGAACTCCTTCGTGGGTGCCCGACTTTTCGGCACCGCCGGCGGTCGGCAGAGAGGTTGGCATGCAGCTCGCCGCTGGGTACTCACGGTGCTGGGCAGAATGTAGATGGGAGGAGCAATTGCAGCAGGACGTCTTGAAGGTGGCTGGAGTGCAATGCGCCAAAATAACACATGTGATGGAACTAATCCCGGTAAGCGACAATCCTTTGAAGACATTGGTTGATGTGAGGGCTTTGGAGCCTGACGATCTCGACACTGCGCCGTTGTATGTCACAGGCGAGCCTTTTCGGGTGGCATACGCAAAGACAGTGGCTGGGAATCATGTACAGGAGAGGTTCCCCACGCTCAAGTTTCCAGATTTGGAAACCTGGTTGACACAGGACTCCCCAAACGCTCTGTTTGGGAAATGGGGTAAGAGGGGATTGCCCTCTCCTGAAGCTTGGGATAATCATGCCAAAGTCCCGCTTGTATTCTCTGAGGAACGAGCCTTGCGACTGTTACAGGGTCGACGGTACTTTGTCACTGACAGGGGATATATCGGGTTAGGACCTGCGGGTTGCGAAGTTGGTGAGTGGTCAAGGCTTGGACCCATCAAGATGCAGTCATCCCATAGCCAGCTAACAAGAGTTAGGCGACATCATCTGTGTTTTCCTTGGTTATGACGCTCCAGTGGTGCTGCGGACACAGTCGGGAAACCTCAAAAATTTTGCCCTTATCGGCGATGCATTCGTCTACGGGCTGCACGACGCCACTGCGCTGCTGGGCCAACTACCCAGTCCATGGCGAGTGCAAGTCTTTGAGGATGAGGCTGGCTATTTAACGGCATACAGGTTCTTCAACCCACAATCCAACGTGCTCTCGGATGAGGACCCAAGGCTTAGGCCCCTTGAACAGTGGACGAGGGTCACTAGCCCTCCTAGGACCGCGGATGACCCGGTCATATTCCAGTGCTTCCAGCATAACCAGACGGGGGAGATTATCAAGCATGATCCTCGGTTGAACCCAGAAGCTTTGATCGCGCGTGGCTTGAATGTAAATACCTTTTGCCTTGTTTAGGATGACGGTCTTACGTTCTTGAATCTAGCGAAATAGGGCCGGGGCACTCGCAGATGCCCTACACACGTAGGCCGCACCGAACCCCGCCGGACTGCGTCCCACTCCCGCGATAGGCCGCGCGAAATCCCGCCGGGTTTCGTTGCGTTGGCGGTGGAAAGCCTGACGCGCCAACATGGACCAGGTTCACGAGTCCACCGACGCGTTTCAGTTCGAAGGGCCCCGGACATCGGGTCTTAGTCTTCTGAGTGGGCCGGCCAATTCAGCGATGGAGGGTGAGAGGAACTCCTCATCACAATCGTCAGCGACATACTCCGAGGCCGTGAGCTGATTAGTTAGGGATGTTTCCATTTCAAGGTCCTCAGAAGGCGCGGCAACGCCGCGGGTACGCAAATTGATGTCGGTGGCTCCCTGGTCGGCAGTGGGATTCAATATACTCTCCAACCCGGGAGGAGGAAAATGTATTAGCTAAATGTAACAACCAATCGTCTACTCTTGTTGCAGGCGACCTATATTCAACCCAGTCTGTCATCCAAAGTTTTCTGGCGAAGGGAAGCAAGTGAGTTTTCATGGCAAATCTCCGGGGTCTTTTAGACGCGGTCAATTTAACCTCTTCAGCTGGAGGCCCCTTGATAAACTGTATATGTGTTAGAACGCCCTAGACGAGGGGTGACGTCGGGAAGGATCCTAAATTTGTGATAGATCTGGCAACGCTACGAGGTATTTCGGGATTTTCAGGATTGGCTCGACGCCATACAGGTGTGAAAGCGTTCTAAGTTTTGCGCACAGTCTCCACGCAGGCGGCTTCGACACCTTCTGCACCATCAATCGCATATGCCACTCCCTCATATATGTTTGTAATGAGCGTAAGTCGTATGGAGACACACTAGGATTCTGTCGAATAAATCTATTAGGCCATGCTAGTGAGATACCTATACAGCGGAGTCAAACAACACACTTACACCATAATTCCAACTGTTTTTGGTAGTTTCTCTGTGCTCCCAGTTCAAGCTTCCTAAAACTTAGCTTACTGATGACAGTCTAAGGTATGGAATGGGTATTGCATTTATCTCTGTCCTAACTCAAGAGCCTGTATCGAATGCTCAGTTTATATACATCTCTGGTACCTCCTAAGCGACATCATCAGAACCGTGAGTCTGACTTGAAATGGCCCCCATACGCCTCTAGCGGGCCAATATGCCTAATCCAGTGAGGCTGAACGAGGCTGAATTTGTATAGACCTAATCGCAGATGTGTGCTCTCAGCTGTACTGAGGTATTCATCTATAGTGGGCGTTCAACACTTATCATCCAAAATACTAGTATCTAGTCCAGCTCCCTTCTCTTTGGCTTCGCGTAGAGTTTCGGCAGGATCCTGTTCCTTACCCATCGTATAAGACCCGAACATACCGGTAGGACAGGGACTGAATAGTAGAGACGAACAAACAGGAGGAGTCTTAACTGGGATAGAGATAGGAAGGACAAGCAGGGCAACCAGCAAAGTAGAGGGAAGCAAGAGGATCAGGGAGGATCGGAAGATATGGGTTGTACAGTGTGAGAGTAGATTTCTGGAGGGAGTCTTGCCCAAGGGCAGTAGAGGGAGTGCGACCCATTCTACAGGTCTCGTATTGCTTGTAAATCGACCTCGTCGGCGCCAATTGCGCAAGGCTGAGTTTATAGAGCCTCGTCGGCAAGACCTTAGTATTAATGACTCACCTACCGCCTATTCGACCTCGTTATCGCCTATCTCCGCCTGTATCCGTGCCTAACCTCACTATCGCTCCTACGACTCCGGTAGGTATTCTTACTCCCGTACCTCCTCCATTTTAGTTACATAACGTCTCCGTCTCTTTCCTCGGCTAAGCGCTTCTAGCCCGGCTAGCGCCGTAGACGGCGGAGGTTTAAACTACGTAGGTAATAGTTCCGGAGAGAGTTATCGGCGCGGCCTAGGTCTAGGTATTATAGGAGTACGAATTAGTAGTAGTATTATCGCCGCCGGCGTAGGGCTAGTAGGAATAAGAGGACTATTAGGTATATAATCCGGAGTCTTTCGCCTAGTAACTTCTATAGTATCTTCCTCCTCTTTTAATATCTATTCATTACGGGTTAAACCCGTATAAAGCTCTAGAGTACTCCCTAGAGCGATTACTCGTAGTATACCTTTATATTACGAACTAGGTCACTTAAAGGATTACTAAGGGAATCAAGGCACCTACCTAAGGAAGGAGGTTAGCCGATAGAGAACGAGGCTAAGTTAGGTAACTAGGTAGGGCTAGATTCCCTAGATCCCTTAGATCTTATAGAATCTCGAGAGATCTAGGGGGAGCTATAAGATCTAGGAGAGCTACTAGTATTATATATATACGCTTATTACCCTAGATAGGACTATTTATAGTTAACTTCGTTAGTAATTCTATACTTATATTTAGAATATAGTCCGACGAAAAGTATATTCCCTTTATTATCTTAGTTAATACTCTAGTACCTACTCTATTAAGAAACCCTACCTTAGTTAGAACTACTTATAGCTCGGATTATAATACTTTAACTACTACTTAATTAGTATTAGATATTTAACGTAGGATTATTATCACGGGATGCTAAGGAGTACGTATATATAGTGGATTGCTAGAGATATCGATACGAAGTGTCGATACTCCACGTCTTTTTAGCTTAATCGCTAGGGGCTATAGTATCCGCTCTAATAATTAATTATAAGAGTATAAGTAACTCAACGAAAACACTAAGATAATCGATTAATTACTATATAGTCCTTAGAATATCGACTATAAGAACTTAAGGAGTCTAAAAACCTCGTATACGATCCGTATAGCCCCTAAGGTCTTATATACTAGGCCCCTTAGTGTTTTAGGACTAGTCTTAGTATAGAATAGATACTTCTAGAGTCTACCGTAGTCCTATTCCGTAATAATTACCTCCCTCTTCCGAAGTATACTCGTCCTCGAGTATAGGAGTAGTAGGTAAGAAGTAGCGTTCTAGTATAGCGCTATATACGTTCTATATTAATATTAGAAAAAACGTAATACGTTTCCCTAATCTTAGGGTCGCTCCTAATCCTAACTTATCCTACTCTTAGGGATTATTCTATATTTACTTTAGTTTACCTAATCCTAGCGAGACTTCGCGTACTTCTCGTACCCTAGTATAGTATATATAGTAAGCTATACCTATAAGGCTAAACTTTTTAATTATTTAGTCTTCGCTATTTAATCTTCGTTAAGGTCTTAGCGATTAGTCCCTAGGTAAGGAGTATATTAACCTCCCTCTACCCTATCTTTCT